TCAATGCTTCGAGAAGCAAACAAATTTACTAGGAAAGAAAGTTGCATCAATTTTTATTTTTTCCAATTTCAATTTTTTATTTTTTATAATTTTTTGTATTTCACATGGCACGCTTTGATTTAGAAGAAAAAATTCAGAACAGTTGTTGACACTTTCGATACCAGAAGCAACAACAAAATACACGCAAATGTTGTTTTTGCTCTACTGATACTACCTGTTTAAGGTGCCTTGGCTTGAAGTTATAAATTTATTGCATATGTATATTCAAAGCACATCATGATTTGATGCATATACAAATATCTTTTATTGGAGATCATTTAATTAAATTTGTTATGCAGTATTTTTAAGTCATTTAAGGCTTACAACATATGTATATAGCAACGAGGACGCAAGCAAAGCACAGGTGGGGCAAAAAGCCTTCAATGATTGGTAATCGATAGCGGCAGGGCTGGATTAAAGCATGCCCCCACCAGACAATCTCGAGAAAATTATTTAGTTGTTCAAAAAAGTTTTGTACTAAAATTTTTTGTTACAAGCTTAAATAATGACGCCGATTGAATTCTAGCATGTGCAACTTTGGCTCATAGCTTGGCTTGTGTAGACCAAGCAATGCAGCAATTGATCACCTAGAGAGTCATTTGAATCGATTACACTGGTTTACAGCAAAAATGTTCTATGGATGCCACTATCCAATTCCCATGTGGAATTCCTCGGTGATTTCGAAAATCGAGATCATCTTTTTTTTCTATGGATAACTTTTCGAGATATATGCAATTTACCGTTACTCAGCTTTAAAAAATAGTGATTTCACTTAATCGCGTATATCTTACGAACCAATTGAACAATCGTAATACGAGATACGGGAAATGAAAGCAAATGAAATTCTCCATAAACTGTATATATGTAGCGAATGAGAGAGAGTCAGAGCTCAGTTTATTAAAGACCTTGTAAGTTTTCTAGCGAAATGACATTACTTCCATTGAGAGGGAGAGCGGGCACGTACAATGTCATAAGTCACAGGGTTGCCACATATATATCACATTCGATTGGTTTTCATTTCTGACACCTCTTGTTTTCGATGCAAACACTCTACCTACTCAGGCGTACGTGGCGTATGCGTAACACTCTTTTCTGCTGATATTTCATACAAAAATTCCTTGCGCATTTTCAATTGACCAATCATTATTTTGTTATTTATATATCGATTTTCTTCATCGGTAGCTTAGTTTTTTCTAAAGGAACAGGCTTTAACACAAGTGCAAATTATTTACAAACAAACTGTTTTTTTGACGTTTTTCCCTGTTAAAGTTTGAATTTTTTGCATTTTTCCATCAAAAAAACAAAAAATCTGGAATGATTAATTAATTTCTCAGAAACTATCATGGCTATCGAAAAGTATTAATAAAAAAAAAAATCTAACTCGATTTTCGGAATCAGCGAGTGATTTTGCATACAAATTGGATAGTGGCGTCTGGAGAACAAAAGCAAAATTAAAATTTGTTATCCAGTGTTATTTCAGAAACTCGTCATGAGAAAATTATGAAAGCAATTTTTTGGGAGATTCAAGACATTTAAATTAATTATTATAATTAGTTAGTCTGTTCCAATACGAATCCGGTTTGCAGGATTTAGCCAGAACTTACAGGAAGTCGTTCCTATAGACAAAAAACCCGTAACTGGGAACAGTTCTGCATCTGTTTTCCTTTTACTCTCACTTGAGAGAGAGAGTAAAATTGTAGTTTGACAGTTCCACAGGTTTTAGCCCGAAGTTCAAACGAACAGACCAAGCACTGTTATGAAAACAAATAATTGATTTATAATCTCAATTGTTATTTTAAATTTAAATTCTTCACTCAACGGATTTCTGCGGTAAACAATAAAATTATTCGTTGTTTTTCTGCTTATTAGCAAATAAAATTATCGTTGAATTAAACGGGAGTCTTTATTTATTTAAAATTTTACATTTTCATGAAAAATATACTCAAATAAAAAAAAATAAAAGAAATAAACATATAAAAAGCCAAGTTTTTAAAAACCGTACGAAATGCCTGAAAAAACATCATCATAAACTTCAAACTTAGCGTACCTAATAATAAAACCCTATTATGTTTCAACTTAAAGTTCTTCATTAGCAGTTGAACCTCTTTTGGGTGGTATGCCACTCAAAAAAAAAAGAGCGATGCGTCGAAAATATCGATACATAAAAAATTTGCCACTTGACATATGACTTAAATAGTCCATGCATCGATGTATCAATTTTTACTTATTTTTAAAAAATAACATCTCTGGTATATCAAACCGCCATTGCAGTTTTCTAATTTGCCAAAAAGAGAAGTGAGTTTGACCAAAACAAAAATCTGAATGCTTCCGAAAAGTGTGGTTTACTTTAGGACATTTTACATGCAACTTTTAGTTGAAAGCAACAAACGCCAGTTGTCAACGGCCTTTCAAGTATGTAATTGCTTCCAATGAAGTTGGAGGCAGCCAACTTTTGAATGTACAATTAATCTTGTATTGCTAGACACCTGATAACCCAGGATAATTTTTAAGAACTTAAAAATTATCCTGGGTTATCAGGTGTCTAGCAAT